TTAGAGCTACAAATCGGTATATGATACTATATGCCGATCTTTAATCGAACTCGAACCAGACTCGAACTCGTATAATGGTTCAGTTCGAGTTCGGTTCGAACTTCGAACCTTTCTTGAACTCAAGCCAAAGTCCGGTTCGAGTTCGGTTTGAATTTCGAACCGAACTCGAACTCGGGCAAAAGTCCGGTTCGGTTCAGTTCATAGGAACACTACCCTTCATTTAAAATAACTGTAGCAATATCCTATTCTCTCAAAGAATTCAACGACTCTTCATATTATTCTTACATCAATAAACTCACATCGTTCAAATTCACAAAATTTCTTAATTCCAAAAGAGGTCATTCTCTTCTTTCATCTGGAACATTTGCTCATTTTACATAAGCAAGCATGACTGTTGCATCATCGTTGATGTGACTAAAGTACCATAGTACTTGATCATAAAAGATTTTTGTAACAAATATTGAATTTCTTTTTTGACAATCTGAAATTGAAACCTGTAATTCATACTATTAATGACAAATATAATTAGTATATAATAAATATGATTCATTCATTTTATATAGCAAGCATAAAATTTTACCGCAATACATCCATTGTTCTTGATATATCAGATTTTTTTATAGACATTTCTGACCCGATCATATATCCTTCTTTTGTTCATAATCATACATATTTTGTCCACTGTTTCGAAGCTGCAGTTGAATGTAAAAATATAAGTTTAAACTAAAATCTCAAAAAATAGCAAAATATAAATTACTTTATTTAATTTAATTGAAGCAAGAATAGTTTTCCTGATACCAACGTGTCAAATGACAATATTCAAGTCTTGATTTATCCATTATGTAGTTTTAGATGGCCACCAGAGTTTCTCTCCATCATTTGTGTTGTAGAAAATTTTTTCAGGCCCATATATTGTTCGTTTGAAAGAAAGATATATTATATCTAGTATATTGGTCAAAAATTGAATGCGATTGAATTTTTCACGCAATAAAATATTATTGATCAAATTTTGATATGGTTCTGATCGTGAGTTCACCATTGGTTGAAGAATTCCAATGAGTCATTTCATCAGAAATTGCCAAGTGACCCAACAAGGTTCACATTGTTGAATGGATTTAGTAATATGCAAAAGATAATGAAAGGTAATCATAATGATTGCCAATCTATTATCTTGATATTGATCATAATCTCTTAAAAAATATAAATTTTAAAATGTGTTATTATATTTAAATGTAATAATAATAATAATAATAATAATAATAATAATAGAGTTTACCTAGTATATAATTCAAGAAAATTACAAATCAACATTTGTATATCAGATATGTCTTGAAAAGTTATAGTTTTTTGGCAACACTTTTGAACAGCTAAAATATATAATGCTCAATCTACAAGAATACTGAAAAAATAATTAGTTAAATTAAACAAATATTATCTAATTCATCCACTCTTCAGCTTTGTAACTTTTGTAACAGTGTATACTTACAGGTACACAGCCAAATTCTCCTGGCATTCTTTTGGAGTTTTTGATTAAATGTGAACTTATTGCTTTTCAAATAGAGTTTTCCAGATAATAATTAGAATTAGTATTAAGATTTTGATGCATTTTAGAAAAAAACTTCCACTCTAATATTTATAAATAGCTAGTGTAACTTGCTCAAAAAATAAGTGCATAATATCCAAAGGAAATAAATAAGAAAATCAAATAAATTTAATTTAAATAAAATACTTTTTCCTTTTATTTCTACAAAAATAAAAAATAAATATTAAAAGTTAAAAGTAATAAATTAATTTAATATAATATACCTTACATTTGTATTTGAATATCCTGATTACTTTCTGATAGTAATTTAATTATTAGCACATTATTAAGATACTCTTAATGTAAATTTAATAAATTATAATTATATAATAGATAATAAATATGATTTTTATAAACACCACAAAGATTACAAAATTGACATATCATATAAGAATTATGTTCTATAAAATTTGTTAATTTCGTTATAACAGGTATATCACTAATTTATATAATTATATGAACATGAACTTTTAATCTTTTTTGTAAAAATTCACAATTAACTTCAATTCTATCTATTAAATAAATATATGTTATTATAATTTTTTAATTTATTAATAGAAAATTAATACTTTATATTTTCAAGTAATTTAAGTTATTATATCAGTAGATACAAAAAAATATTCATATTTTTTGGTAAATTAGATCCAAGAATTACTACTTTCATTATAAGATTTTCTTGTTTTATTCATTTTAAAGAAGGAAAATTGGTATTAATAAAAAGAAAGATTTAATAGTTATTTTATTTTGTTTGAAAATTTAATATCTATCACATGATCCAATCATAATTTTCATTAAAAAATCCTTCTTGTAATAATATTTTATAAAGTTACCATTATAAATATCACTCAAACTTTCTTTTTGAAATTGATAAGTTAATTAATATAGCATTTTTTAAAAATGATCAAGATTTTGAAGTTGAATATAAAGTCGATCTTGTAATAAGATATTTATTGTAAAGTATCTATATAAAAATATTAAGATTTATTTTAATATAAATAATAATTAATATTAGTATATAAATTAGTAAAAGTATAATATGAATTAATATATATATTAATATATTATATATTAATTTTCAAAATTTTAGAAAAATATTTTTGTGCTTTATATAAGAATACTTTAAAATATTCAAAAATTTACAAGATTTTTTCATAAACAAAATATAATAATTGTAATACTTTATCATCAATATCGAAATTTGAATCTATAAAATATATATTAATATGAAGTTATTTAAATTAATATAAAATAAATTTTAATATTTTATCTAATTTAATATTTATTTCTTTAATTATATTTTTTTAATTAGAATCAGATTTTTTACTTTTGATTTTTGATTCTATAAATAATATAATTCAACTTCTAATAATTTACTTCTTGTTTCAAAACTTGAAGAAATTTTAATTAATATAGAATTTAATTCAATTAATTTTGATAAATATTGATTTATATTATTATAGCTAAAATAATAATATATAAATAATATAGTTTATTACTTTTATTTTTAAATTAATATTGATATTATTTTGTTATTACTTCAAAATTTACTTTAATTTCAAGTTCCAATGAAATTGTATTTAAATATATTAATTTTATATTCAATTTAATATTTTTTTAAGTATTTCTCATAAATTTTTATATTATAATATTTTATATTATTAATTAAAGTAATCTATCATATTTTATTAGAAATTTATCTTTTTTGACTAAATAATTAAGTTTATTTATTTATATAAATTAATAATATCATAATAAAAAATTATATATTAATTATATATATATAATATAATAAATTATTAAAGCAAATTATAGTAATTTGATAATATAAATTATATATTTAATTATATCAAAATTTTATGTGTTTGTTTTATTTTGATTTAATAATAATATATTTATAAATATCTATTAAATTTTTAATTTTGATATTTTTTGTTCAAAATATTATTTGAAAATATTGATATTAAAGAAGTTTCTATTTCTATTATTATTTTTATTCCTTCACAAGAACTTGATAATAAAAATATTTTATTATAAATAAAAAATCAATATTTTATTATTTATTAAAGATATTAAATCAAGTTTCAACAGTCTATTAAATATTCTATTATAGGAAAATATTTTTCTAATATTCCACTTGTACTTATTATAAAATTTTTAAGCAAAATTTTAAATTACTCAAAGTAAGAATTTTGTTTGTTTATTTTAAATAATTCTTAGTTTTTAATATTGGTTTTTTATTTTTAAATAGAGTTTTCTTTGAAAATTATGAAAAACTAGTGAATATTATTTGAAAAAAGTATTAATCTTATATTATAAATTATTCAAGATGCATAATATTATAAAGCAACTGTCAAGTTTGAAGAATTTCTCATACAAAATCTAATTAAATATATTATGAGACATTTTACTAATTTATAAATAATAGAAATAAGTTATTAATAATAAGATTATTTTATTATTAATTAACTATATTATTTATTATTTTTATTATAATAAATTATAAAATTAATTATGAAAAGAAGAAAAATTATATAAGAAATCGATGAGCTCATCAAATAGAACTTGAGGATTAAATTTATAAATCACACAAAATTAAATTCAAACAAAATAAAAGAATTTTCTAGTGAGATTCTAAGCCAAGATAATAAAGAAATCTATTTAGATGAAGATAATAATAATGAACATAAAGAAGTTAATAATGAAAATTAAGAGCTTATCAATAATGATTCTGATACAGAAGAAAATATGTGTAATACAAGAATAAGTATATATTTTAGTTGATATATATAATATATTTTATATTTATGTGTTTTTTCTCAGATCTGTTATTAAAAATGTCATCAGAATTAAATTTTCTCTCTATAACACGAAAAAAATAACAAAAAAACTCTAAAGTAAGTGAATATTATCATTTTTGATTTAATAAATTTGGTATTAACTTTTATACTAATGATATTGTTTGTACTATATTTTTAGTACACTACAATCTTTCTCTTTGGTCCTAAACCAAGACAAAAAAAATCTCATTGTTATGTCTTCCAAGCAAAAGGAATCCTAAAAACAAAAACATAAAGATCACACAATCTCAGATGAAGAAATACAAAAAATTGATACAGTAAAGCCCAAATTGATAAGGTTTCACAATGCCTTACAAACAACTGTTTTCAGCTCATCACAGAAGAACATTGGACGTTTGCTTCTTAAGTGAAAAAGATCTTTACCTTTTATTTTTTAAGTATGTACTGATTATTTTATATTTTCTAATAGAATCTGGCAAAGAAACAACTTCACAAGAGCTTGTAGAAGCTAAAAGCATACACAATCTGAAGCATTTAACAAAATATAATCCATCTCGTGACAAGAAGCAACAGAAAAAAGGTGATCAATGACAAATCGTAGATGGCATAGGGTAAACGAATATAATATGTAATATAAACAATCTGTACAGAATATATAAGAAATATGTCAGTCATTGTATCTGGAAATTTTACGCAATATATAAAGATTGCATATGTTATACATATAAAACGCGTCTGTAATTTTCAGAGTTGTGTATGTAATCGTATCTCGAATTTTACATAATATATACAATTTATATTTGAAACGTATAAGCATAAAATATATAGATATGTGTCTGCGTTTTTCAATAACTTATACAGTATTTGTATCTGGAAATCATATGGAATTTAAAATTACGTATGCTAATTCCGTACGCATTTGTACGGAAAACGCGCCAAATCAATTAGAACTTGCATATGGAATTAGTTCCTGACATATTGTTGATAATTTACTTACACGTCGCGTAAAATTTCTGATACAGTTTTTCCGTAGGTGTACTGTTACCGTAGTAACAATAAATCCCTTAATTCCGCAATAATGCTCAACTAATTTCTACATGAAAATCTTACC